GCAGAGTTGGACCGTGAGGATATAGAACACTATAGTTTCGGTGTGGAGGCTGTGGACCACGGCTCACCCCCCATGAGCTCCTCGGCCAGTGTGTCCATCACAGTGTTGGATGTAAACGATAATGACCCAATGTTCACACAGCCTGTGTACGAGCTGAGACTGAATGAGGATGCAGCCGTGGGGAGCAGTGTGCTGACGCTTCGAGCCCGGGACCGTGACGCCAACAGTGTAATCACCTACCAGCTGACAGGCGGCAACACCCGGAACCGCTTTGCCCTCAGCAGCCAGAGTGGTGGTGGCCTCATCACCTTGGCCCTGCCCCTGGACTACAAGCAGGAACGGCAGTATGTGCTGGCTGTGACCGCGTCGGATGGCACGCGGTCACACACTGCACAGGTCTTCATCAATGTCACTGATGCTAACACCCACAGGCCGGTCTTCCAGAGCTCCCACTACACGGTCAGCGTTAGTGAAGACCGGCCCGTGGGCACCTCCATTGCCACCATCAGTGCCACAGATGAGGATACAGGTGAGAATGCCCGCATCACTTATGTGTTAGAGGACCCAGTACCACAGTTCCGCATTGACCCGGACACGGGCACCATCTATACCATGACAGAGCTTGATTATGAGGACCAGGCTGCCTACACGCTGGCCATCACCGCTCAGGACAATGGCATTCCTCAGAAATCAGACACCACCTCTCTGGAGATCCTCATCCTTGATGCCAATGACAATGTGCCCAGGTTCCTGCGGGATTTTTACCAGGGTTCTGTTTTCGAGGATGCGCCCCCATCGACCAGTGTCCTCCAGGTCTCTGCTACCGACAGGGACTCGGGCCCTAACGGCCGCCTCCTTTACACTTTCCAGGGTGGGGATGATGGTGATGGAGACTTCTACATCGAGCCCACATCTGGTGTGATCCGTACCCAGCGCCGGCTGGACAGAGAGAACGTGGCCGTGTACAACCTTCGCGCTCTAGCTGTAGATCGGGGGAACCCCAGTCCCCTCAGTGCGTCAGTGGAGATCCAGGTGACTGTCTTGGACATTAACGACAACCCCCCAGTGTTTGAGAAGGACGAGCTGGAGCTGCTTGTGGAGGAGAACAGCCCTGTGGGTTCAGTGGTGGCAAGAATAAGAGCCAGTGACCCAGACGAGGGTCCAAACGCCCAGATTATGTATCAGATCGTGGAGGGCAACGTGCCCGAGGTCTTCCAGCTGGATCTGCTGAGTGGTGACCTCCGTGCCCTGGTCGAACTGGATTTTGAGGTCCGGAGGGACTATATGTTGGTGGTGCAGGCCACATCCGCGCCTCTAGTAAGCCGGGCTACGGTGCACATCCGTCTCCTGGACCAGAATGACAATCCACCAGAGTTGCCTGACTTCCAGATCCTCTTCAACAACTATGTCACCAATAAGTCCAATAGCTTCCCCAGTGGTGTGATCGGCCGCATCCCAGCCCATGACCCTGACCTCTCGGACAGCCTCAACTACACCTTTCTGCAGGGCAATGAGCTGAGTCTGCTGCTGCTGGATCCCACCACGGGAGAGCTGCAGCTCAGCAGGGACCTGGACAACAATCGGCCACTGGAGGCGCTTATGGAGGTGTCTGTGTCAGGTGAGTGGCCCCTGGGGAGGAGCTGCTCCCTTGGGCCTCCTAGAGAGCCTCGGGGACCCGCCAATGGCCGCCAGGGCATGCCTAGACACATTTGGGCAGGGCCTGGGCAACCATCCTGGCATTTGCTGCTATGATTGGTTGCACGCTGGGGGTGTGCTCCCCACCCAAGTCCATGGAGGAGGAGGCCCCTCATTGCTTCCCTCAGCAGTTTTGTGGGGAGCAGGCCTGGGCTGTTTTAAGCTCAAGTGCAGGGCTTTTCTGTGCTTCTCCCAAACCATGCTGTTAAAACCTGGCCTCGGGGTTATCCAAGTTGTCTGGCTTGCCCAGTGATGCTCCTTAGTAAGCCTGCTGCATGCATGGCTGTCTGGAAGGATCAAAGGTCACTCCCTGTTCCATGTGCCAATTAGTTCCCGGGTGGGACCGTTGGAAATTGCTGGATGGTCCCTGAGTCACCCTGTAATATGGCTGGTGTTCCCTTGGTCTAGCTTTTCTGTCTCCTCAAGATAATAACAATCGGCTCATGTGTGCTGCCTCTGGGGTGACTCTTTGAAAAGCACAGCCCCGTTTGATCTCGGCTCCTGCCCCTGGACTTGGGCTTATAATTTGGGAGTTTGCTCATAGGCTGTTCAACTTAGTGTGGGAACCAGTGAGGCTGCTTCGGGGCTGTGGGGGATGGGCAGAGGAGAGGAAATGTCAGCTCAACCCTCACAGACTTGGCAGCAAACCTGCTGTGTAACAGGGCCTGGGGTGCTCGGAGACCTGGAGGAGAGGAGAGAGGGTTGAGCAGGACCTAAGGGACAATAAAAGGACCCCCCAGTGGCTCTGGGAGGGGTCCAGGTTGCTTGGGGCTCACAGGTGTGGATTTGATCAGCTGGTTCAGGTAACTGACCAATAAATATACCAGGAAGGATGGTTCAGGTGTGTGGACACCTGAGTCTATGTTTCACGTGGGCAGTAAGTTATGGAATGTGGTATCTCCATGGGAACAGGGAAGCCCTGAAGGTCAGTTTTCTACTTGTCGTATCTCAGTGTTGGCTGATATTCTTATGTTCCAGGGGGCGGGGGTGACTAGCCTCCCCTCCCTTCCAGTGGTCTCTTCATACCATCTGGGACATCAGGGCTTGGTTTTGAAGCGGTGTGGTGACCCAACATGGCTTTGACCACACTCTATCTGTTTGGGAGGAAGCGTCGAGACCACTAGGGAACGTCCTCATAGGTTTTTAACCAGGGTGGTGGCGACTCCTGGCAGATTCTGTGTCCTGAGCAGCTGTTTGTCTTCTAGATAAAGTAGTGTAGAACATTTGGCAAAGTGGTCAGGCTTAGGTTTGGGGAGAGTGTAGAGTATTAATGGGGGGGGGCCGTCCATGCTGGGAACAGAGGCATTTGTGTGTCTGCAGTGTGTGGGCATCTGTGGGACCCGAGGACAGGCTCCCATGGGTCGACTCACAAGAGGCTGGTTCACAGTGCACGTGTGGGTACATAATCTGACCACAGCTGTGGTGGTTCAGCAGGGCCCTAATGCATGGTGACCATCATTGATTCTTTCCTGAGCTTGCATTCTCCTGTGAACCTGGGGCTTCCTGTGCCTCTCCACATCGTGTGTGTGTGTGTGTGTGTGTGTGTGTGTGTGTGTGTGTGTGTGTGTGTGTGTGTGATGATTACCTCTGGCTCCCAGCAGCCTTCTAAAGTCTCAGACCTCTGGCAGCTGGAGGTTTACACACAAAGAAACTGAGGTTCAGAGGTGTGAAGCCACAACCAGTGGGCAGGGGCTCCGTGATCAGCATGAGGCTACTTCCGTCTTTCCCATTCCCTTTTCTCTGCTGTGGGGAAAGGTTTGAGGAAGGAGCTGCTAAGCCGACTCTTCCGCTGTCATGGGGTGCTCCAATGGGAAATGAATTCTGCCATTCTGCCGCTCTTTAGACAGTTTGCTTCATCCTTCAAAGAAGAGACTCACTGTGACCGCAAGGCCTGCAGGTCTCAACAGCAGGCTGGTGAAGAGACCTAACCAGGCCTTGGTCCCTCCCTGAGGCCACTCTTACATTTTATGAAGGAACAGTGTGGGAAAGCTGTTGATTCAGGCTCACTCAGCACTGTCTTCAGTGCCGAGTAATTGGCTCCAACAGGATTTACAGCCATGCCCTAAAGCCTTTGAAGATCTCTTACTGCCCTGGAGAGCTAGGTGTGAGGCTGGCAGTGGTTGGGTCTTGTGAGAGCCCTCAGCCAGGAGAGGAGACCCATGGCGTGGGGAGGAGCATCTGGGGGCAGGACAGGATGTGCAGGGGAAGAAGGAGGTACTTTCCAGCCTGGCCCTGGGTCCTGTGTGATCTTTTTTGACTGGAAAAAGATTGTTGATGGTTCTGTGGCACTTCTCAAAGACAAAACAGTTTTTAAAAAATGTTGGAATATGTATGTGATAATTTAGACAGCTGAAAGTTTTGCGGGCTGGTCTTTCTAGATGTTTATTTTCTGTGTGGGGTGTTTGGATGCCATTTTCTATTCTGTGATGGGAACTTTTTCTTATGGAGACTGGGGAAAGCAATGTTGGCCCTTCTCTGACAACTAGCCGAGAAGCTCTAGTGTTGAGGACTGCCCCCTGATTGGTCTTTTAGTGATGCTGACATTCCGTTCCATTAGTTAGTTAGTTGGTGTGTGACTGTGTTTGGGTGTAGTGTGCCATGGTACTAGTGGAGAGCAGAGGACGACTCCAGGAAGCTGGTTCTCTTCCTCCACCACGTGAGTCCCAGGAATTGAACTCTGGTTGTCAGGCTTGGTGGCAAACACCATTACCTGATGAGCCCCTTTCGTTGCCCCCCCCCCCAACGCTGACAGCTTTTAACACTCCTGGAACGTGTAGGTGCCTGTAGGTTCAGGGACTGGAGCTTGCCTTGGAGAGTGCAGCTATTGGCAGGAAGGCACAGTTCCTGCCACTACTAACATGTGTCACACACTTGTGGATGTGGGAAAAGTAGCATTTGTGGGGTGAAAAGTGAGTGGCTGGTGAGTCATTCAGACGTGTCAGAAAACATCAGAACTCGGTCAGCCTCGCTGTTTGCCCTAGTGGGGAGTGCGCGGTGCAGAGCCGTCTAGGCTTGATCGGCTTTTGAGAGTGTTTGCCCAGTTAAATACAGGATATCGCGGTGACTTTTCAGTAGGCGATTACAAACAAGGAAGTGAGCAGATGGCTGTACCAGGCATAGTCTGGACGCACCGTGCTGCATTTCCCCTAAAACTCAACAGTTAGCAAAGAATCAGAGGAGCTTCAACCACTCCTGTAGCAGTACTGGCCTCACCTGGTGACAAATCACCAGGAGGAGTTGGCGCTTTGGGCAGCCAGCGAACTTTTTGAATGTCTGATAACGCGGAGTATTTCTTTGTTTGTTTGATTGTTTGGGAACAGGTTCTCTCTATTTAGTCTGGACTGTCCTAGAACTCACTCTGTAGGCCAGGCTGGCCTCGAACTCACACCTTTAGCCTCTGCCTGAGGCTAAAGGTGTGCATCACCACATCCAGCTAGTATTTACTATTGAATACCTACTACATATAAGATCTTGATGAGTCTATGTAGTCCCAGACCTTCTAGAGTTGGATGGAGATAGACACAGAGCTAAAGCTCAAGGAGGGCAGGGAGGACCCGAGGAATAGTGGAGAAGAGGTACTGTCCAGTGTAGACTAGTCAGCAGATGCCTGGCAGGGAGACCTGGAGGGCCAAGCGTCCTTGTATCTGGAGAGGGCCGACCACAAGGCCCCATCAACTTTGTCAAGGGCGTTTGGAGCAAGGACTGTGTCATCTCCCACCTGCTGCTGCTGGAGGTGTGAAGGAGACTGGAGGAAGCTCGGGAGGCTGAGGGTGTGCCTGTGGAGTGTGATTGGCAGGGCAGGGATGTGCCAGGCTAGGACATCGGATGCCAGACAATGAGAACGTCAATGGCAGTTGGCTGCTCTCTGTCGGGAACTCTCCCCAGGCCTGTCAGGGCGTATTCAGTTCTCAAGCTGCTGCCCCATGAGGCAGGCTCTACTGTCATCGTCCCGCCCCAGCGATAAGCCAGGGCAAGGTGCACAGGGCGCTTAGCCTGTGGCAGCAGTAGGGAATAAATGTGTGTCATCAGGATAGGGCCCAGGCCTCCCTCTGGGAACCACAGCCTGAGTGGACTGGTAGCTGAGTCGGACCAGGAGGGGACACACAAAGAAGAATGGAGGGGGTGACCCATGGCGCATGGGATCAGGGAGCTGAGGTTATGGTATACGAAGGTGAGCCCAGTGCTGAGTCTTTGTGGTCCAATAAGAACGGATGAATAGGTGACACTATTGCTGGGAGTAAGGTCTAGAAAGGGTTAAGTCTTGACTTGGGGTGGGGGTGGGAGGACACGGTGCCAAGGCAAGGTCAAGAAAGGATGACAGCTTGCACAGGCAGCCATGCAAATGTTTACCTGTTGGGGGTCCTGGCAGCACCTTTCAGGGGTGTTGGGAGTTGGAGTGTCTGTTACTGCTGGACAGTAGAGTTGTGTCTCTTTGGGTCATTGCATGAGGAGGAGGGGCCTGGGATGCGGCCCAACCACCAGCTACAGGGTACCTGGGTACATCTGGACACTTACCTCAGCACCAGGTATAGTGGCAGGCAGTTGGAACTCAGTGGAGTAACCTTACAGCCCTTGACAGCCCTCAGAGAAGGAGGATGCTGATGATATGCCTCCAAAGTGGATCAGAACTCATCCAGGACCTGCTGTCACCATTGCAAAGACCACTTGGGTTTGGGCTGATGCAGTTCTATCAGAATCCTGCTGGGGAAGTGGATGGCTGGAAGAGGGGAGCCCCTGGCAGCAATGCATGTGCTTGGGGCGTGGTGTGTGGCCCTGTGCCATGCGCCTCTGCCCCTGCCAGCACTGGGACTCCAACAGGTAGATCTTATCATATGAGGCAGAGCATGTGGAAAATACTCATAAGTTTGGCATGACTCTTTCAGCTCGTAGCCTTGGGGGAAATAGTTTACTTTTTTTTTTCCT